GCAAAAAAAAAATTTCGATTTTTTGAAAATGAAAAAGGTATATACCCCCTTAAACTGTGGGATGCTGTTAATGAAAAATTTCTCGTTGCAAGAGATGTGGTTGTCGATGAAACCAATATGGTGAATTCTAGAGCTGTTAAATTTGAAACAGCATTCCTGAAAGATAGTAAGGAAAGTACAAATAGAAATTTCCCGAATGAAAATAGGGAAATTAAAGAAACAAAGTTCCCGAATGAAAGTAAGGAATGCGACAACACACAAATGCTGAATGATAGTAAGGAAACGGATGAACATTTTCTGAATGAGAGTAAGAAAAGAAAGCGAGATGATCTCCTGAATAAAAGTAAGGAATCAGACAACCCGAACGAGAGTAGGGAAAATCAAACAGCTGAATACTTAGAAGAAAATGGATCTGCTAAGAATCCAATTGGAACTGATGATATTGAAACATCGTGTAGAAGAAGTGAGAGATTAAAAACAAAGCCCCAGATATCATATTATGAAGATGATAATAATTTAAATAAAGTTGTATTAAATGCTCACACTATCTTCAATGATGTTCCAAATACATACGATGAAATTCAGAATAGGAATGATAAATTGTTTTGGGAGGAAGCCATAAAAACAGAGTTGAGTGCTCATGAACTAAATAATACCTGGACAATCACAGAAAGACCTAAACATAAAAACATAGTAGATAGCAAATGGGTATTTCCCGTTAAATATAACGAACTAGGAAGTCCTACTAGATATAAAGCAAGATTGGTTGCACGAGGGTTTACTCAAAAATACCAAGTCGATTATGAAGAGACTTTTGCTCCTGTAGCTATAATTTCCAGTTTTCGATTTATTTTATCGTTGGCAGTACAATATAACTTGAAGGTTCATCAAATGGATGTAAAAACTGCATTCTTAAATGGCACGTTAAAAGAGGAAATATATATGAGACTTCCTCAAGGTGTACAGGTCGAAGGTGACAATGTATGTAAATTGAATAAGGCAATTTACGGACTTAAACAAGCCGATAGATGCTGGTTTGAAGTCTTTGAGCAAACATTGAAAGACTGTAAGTTTGTAAACTCTTCCGTAGATCGCTGTATATATATCCTTGATAAAAGTGATATCAAGGAAAATATTTATGTGCTTTTATATGTTGATGATGTGGTGATAGCTACGGGGAATATGACAACAATGAATAAATTCAAAAATTATTTAATGAAAAAGTTTAGAATGACCGACCCAAAAGAAATAAAACATTTTATTGGTATTAGAATAGAAATGTATAAAGAAAAAATTTTCCTGAGCCAATCTGCATATGTTAAAAGAATCTTAAGTAAATTTAACATGGAAAATTGCAATGCAGTTAGTACTCCCTTACCAAACAAACTAAATTATGAGTTACTTAATTCAGATGAAAACTGCAATGCTCCATGTCGTAATCTCATAGGATGTTTAATGTACATAATGCTATGTACACGTCCAGACTTAACTACTGCAGTAAATATTTTAAGTAGATATAGTAGCAAAAATAATTCCGAGCTATGGCAGTGCTTTAAAAGAAATGCTGAGTTTAAAAATACATTAATTGGTTATGTAGATTCTGATTGGGGAGGAAACAAGATTGATAGGAAAAGTACCACAGGGTATTTATTTAAAATGTTCGATTTAAATTTAATTTGTTGGAACACAAAAAGGCAGTAGCAGCCTCATCAACTGAAGCTGAGTACATGGCATTATTTGAAGCTGTGAGGGAAGCGTTGTGGCTTAAATCTCTTCTTAGTAGTGTTAATATCAATCTCGAAAATCCAGTTAAAATTTACGAAGATAACCAAGGCTGTATCAGTATAGCAAATAATCCCTCATGTCATAAACGAGCCAAACATATTGATATCAAATATCATTTTGCCAGAGAGCAAATTGAAAGTAACACCATTTGTCTTGAGTATATTTCCACAGAGAATCAACTTGCTGATATCTTCACAAAGCCGTTGCCTGCCGCCAAGTTCCTTGAAATACGACACGAGTTGGGATTACTACAAGATGACTGATCCGCTGTTTGCTGATGCTGAAGTTTTTTTAATACATATTTGAATTTAATCGATCTCATGAAATAATTTTGTTCTTTTTTTGTATAAGCATTAAGTTATTGAAATTTAAAATTCTTTGTTAACATATGTATATGTAAGAATGATCTGATCGGGTTTTTCTGGGTTTTCCCCGTATCCTGGCGGCAAATGCTGGATCATATAACTTCCCAGAATGCACACCACCCACACTACGTACATAACAATTACAAATGAATATAATGTTAAGTTTATAATTTTATAGATGTTATTTCTGAAGCGGCGTGGTGGAATACCCCTATTCCTATACAGAAATACCATTTTAGTAAATATCGCTTTTAGTCTTTAATGAATACTCAGCCTATGGTCACACTGACCGATCTTCTTCCCCTTTCTTGTGACCTTCTTCTTGAGCTAAGTTGTGGTGCTGGTGTTGCGGTAAATTAAAACATTAAAACATTACTCCTGTGTAATTATTGGGTGTATAAAACAATATTTGTTAGGTTAGAAAGTTGGGATTTTCTATGGGTTTTACTTTTAGCCAATCAATCCGACCTATCAAATTTCATAAGGATCGGCCGACTATATCCTATAGCTGCCATATAACTGAACGATTGGAAATGCCATAACTTTGGTGTTTTTAAAGTTAGGAAGTTGGGATTTTTTATGAGTATTAAGAATGCATCATATGAATAATTTTGAAGAATATAATTTACAGAGTATTCTGCAAGGGTATATCAACTTCGGCTCCGCCCGAAGTTAGCTTTCCTTTCTTGTTAAAGTTCAGAACAATTCTAAGGCTAGAGTTCAATGTAGCAACTCAAAAATAGAGATAGTAGATTTACCTGAACAAGGAATAATAACTTTAAGGTCAGATTGTACTGCTCGAACTGATGATAAAATCTTGGTTGCTCAACACAGTATTCAGCTAGAAGATCAGGGAACATTAGCTTTGACTTACATTGGAGAAGTCAACGAAATACCAAAGATTATTTGGAACCCGTCTGAAATGCCATTAATTAACCATACGGACGAAATCAATCGTTTATCAAAGCAAATTCAATATTTAAAAACTCACAAGCTAGAATTGAGGGAATTAGACTTTCACCTTTTAACTGGACATGCATCCCTCATTTTAGCAATTGTAATAATAATTATATGAACTGTATATTTTATAAGAAAAATAAAAATACAAAGGCAGTTACAAGCCATAGCATTACGCAGCGGTATGCTTAATTTTTAAATTAGTAGATGCAATAAATCAATGATATAAAAATGTTTTATGTTAATAAATAAATAAATTTACTAACATGTAAAAACACAATAATTGCAAGCCGTGGAAAGGTGTCAAAATTATTATGCAAAATAAAATATATCGAATTAATACAGTCCACTAATTTTGTATTGCAATGTTTTTGAGAATAAATGAAATAAATTGTAATTAACACATACACCTAATCTTGCCGGCCCTTGCCAGAATGTTCAGACGAGCACTAATAAAAATAAAATATAATACTTTATGAGCTCTGTACATGTCATGTGACAATTGTAAATCGACTCAGAGCCCTACAAGGGAGCGGTGTTAGCACTTGTAATCTGTAAGTGCAGGCCACTTGAGCCTAACCGAAGATAATCACTTGAGATGTTTCTCACACTGCACCAAGGGTTCCTGTGCGGGGGTCAAATGATAACTCTCCCGCTCAGGCAGACGCGGCCTCTGCGTAGGCCACAGTTAAGACCAGAATAAAAACTTCATGTTAGTTTCCTAAGCAGGGACTTAGAAAATAAAATTCAGTTTTAATACAGAACTCAACTGAAAAGGTTGTTTTATTTAATTCATCCCTTTCAACCTTTTTTGAAAAGAGGAATAGCAAATGATACCTTCCAAATATTTGGGTATTGGGAAGTTTCTAGAGATAAGGTAAACAACTTGTGAAGAGGTTTGCACAGAGCCATAGCGCAATACCTAAGCACGCACCGACGAATACCATCGGGCCCTGGCGAAAAAACAGGCTTAATACGAAGAAGATCCAAAAGAAGAGAGCTTTCTGTTAAAGTGGGACAGAATATGAGGTTTGACTTGGATATGGTGTAGGAATAAGGCTGTGATGAATAATCTAAAGTAGAGTAAGACGTTTGAAAAAATTGGGCAAATAAATCGGCTATTGCCTGATCGGTGGTTGCGGTCATGTTTTCGAACGACAGCGAGGAAGGAAAATAATTATTAGCTTGGTATTAACGAAATTATAAAACTGTTTCGGGTCCTGAGAGAACTGGACCTTACAACGGTTTAAGTAACTATTATAACACTGAGCATTAAGCACGGTAAATCTTGACCGAGCACTTAAATATCTAGTAAAAACTGATTGAGAACCGGTATTTTTATATTTCCTAAAAAGTCTGGACTTTACATTTCTTAAGTGTGTCAACTCTTTGCTAAACCAAGGTGATTTATTGAAAATTGACGGATAGTACCACGGAACACAGGAATTAAAAAATGAGTTTATTGCAGTGTAAAAAACATTAACTGCATCGGACATATTATTGCATAAGTAAAGATCAGACCAATTAAAGCCAGAAATAAAATTATTTAGCCTCAGAAAGTTTGGCCGCGGTTTACCGATTACACAATATATATGTGTAAAAATATAAATTATACAAAAAGAAAAAATTCAATAATTTTTACAATTGATATTACTTAAACGAAAGTTTATGTCAAATAACAGCTTAGCTACCAGAACCAAATAAAATATTTGTCCTTTCATGTTAAGTAATCTCGTTACCCTTGTTTACAGACTCTGGTATTAAAATTCATAAATTTATAAAAAAGACTTCCAGGCAGCATAAACTATCAACAAACCACTATGTATACTGTACACAAATTGCATAATTAATAAAAACCAAGTATTAAATAAAAAAAAATGAATTTTTATTTACCTTTAGATGAAGATGGGATAACTCTTTCAGGTGTTATAAAGGGATGCTTGTCGTAATTGGGATCCTCAACTTCTTGACATCTGTACGATAGATTACGAAGTATGCATACGCAATTTTCAACCGTTTTATTTCCAATATTATTTTTCTCAATCGCTGCTCTTACTACATAAAGAAGACATTCAACTAAATTTTCGCAATTTCGAAGACATCCTCTTGCATGTTCTCCAGCAGAACTGACATTTCGTAAAACACCAGAAGCATTTCGAAATACTGTAGAGAAACATGTATCACCACAACTAACAGCGTCCCAACCGGAATGTGGCTTTATAACGCTGCAAACAATAGCAGCAAGTGCTTCATCAATAATTGACCGTTTCAGATCTTCACAGGACGACATATTCCATAAAACTCCAGTCACAAGTTCTTTTACTTCTGTTTCCTGAGAGCGACAAAGAAGATGAACCAAGGCGTCTATTCCACCAGCGTTTTTTATTCCACGTTTGTTTTCATCGTTTTGTCTGCCGTAAGATAAATTTCTCAGAGCACCACAAGCATTTCTAAAAAGGTAATGTATAGAGAAATATATTACAACAAAAGTTTAAAGTTTCTACCTCAGGAAATTAATATATATTAATACTTAAAAATAATTACAATTAGGGCAAAATAATAAATTTAGTACAAACTAATCGATTCAATCTCAGCTATATAATGACTGCCGTTCCCACTTCTATGTGCAACAGAAAGAAAACTACTGTGCTTTCATTTAGGCGGACATAGCTAGATCGATTCGCCTGTTATTTACAGCCTTGGAAAAGCTTTCTTCCAGCAGTTACATTCTTTTCACAAATGCACCCAGGTAAATTTGCCGTACTCTGTTTCGTGAGTGATAAATAAACGTTGAGATTGATCAAGAATATATATACCTCATAGGGTCAACCACGTTTAATTATGTTTCATACTTTTCAATGAATAAAATATACCCTTTTACCCTACGAGTACCGGGTATGTTGCTAATTTAATTCGGTTTTGATACACAAAAACATTTTAATTCACATTTGTTGTTAAAGCGCAACTTTTATAAGTAGTAAATTATGTGCGGTACAAAAGAAATAAAGAATCTAATACCACAACACTTGCTGCCCAGCTAATCAAGCATAGTCTTAATCAAATTAGTTTAAGTGCCAACATGAATTGCTTCTTATCCACCATCGCAATCAGGGCTGTCGCATTGTGTTCAGTTCCTGATTTGCGCAGCATGCAGCATGCAAACAATCTTCACAGTCCAACTGGTTACATTTTACCATTTTACTCTACGGGTTACGGGTTTCAAAACTGGCATCTGAATGAAACTCGGCCGGTGGTTGTGATGATTAAGGCATTGGTGACTTAACTCGATATCAGTTATTTTTTTGAACTATTATTAAGAAAATTTAGATTCTTATCGGTTTTACTAATTACGATTTTTTTCCAGTTCCTTTAGAAATATATTTATTTTTATTTTTAAGTTAGTCTGATTGATTACTTTATCAAGTTTCGTTTCTTAAGAACCAATTTGACTTTTCATCAGAAATATTTTAAGTAAAGAAGGGTTTAAACCTAGTTAAATTTATAACGTAAATAGGTAAAAAACAAAATCATTAATATTTTCACAATTTATATTAAAGTGCTCTTGCTAAACAATAAAATTGCAAATAAAATTTGAATTAATTGTCCCATGCGCTTCAAAAACAACTAACAAAAAATGAACGCAACACATTAAAAATAAAAAAAAAATAGAAAAAAAAGGATACAAATACCAAAATAATTAAGATAAAGTAAGCAGGGCCGGGCGTGGAATATCTCAATTAGAACCACCACAAAGTAAGAACCCGCTAGAACATTATCTATGTATTCTATAATCGCCGCCGTCGACTAAATTCTGATTATTTAAATCCACTTGACATAGTTTAATGTCAAGAAAATCATGTTAGAAATTGACTAGGCCGAAATTGACTAGCACCACTTACGAAACCATATCATACTACTATTGAAGCGACAATCGACACGGGTACAGTAACAGAAGAAAAATCAGAAAAGTCAACCACACGAATACATTGCTTTCGGAGACTTTCTGAGGCTTAATAATATTGGCTGATACCCTTTATGTTTTTATACCCTTGCAGAGGGTATTATAATTTCAGTCAAAAGTTTGCAACGCAGTGAAGGAGACATTTCCGACCCTATAAAGTATATATATTCTTGATCAGCATCACCTGGAGAGTCGATCTAGCCATGTCCGTCTGTCCGTCCGTCTGTCCGTCCGTCTGTCCGTCCGTCCGTTTCTACGCAAACTAGTCCCTCAATTTTAAAGCTATCTGCTTGAAACTTTCCCAAATGTTGTCTTTCTATTGCAGGTAGTATATAAGTCGGAACGAGCCGGATCGGGCCACTATATCGTATAGCTGTCATATAACTGAACGATCGGAAATGCCATAACTTTGGTGTTTTTGAAGTTAGGAAGTTGTAATTTTCTATGGGTTTTATTTTTGGCCAATTAGTCTGACCTACCAAATTTCATAAGGGTCGGCCGACTATATCTTGTAGCTGCCATATAACTGAACGATTGGAAATGCCATAACTTTGGTGTTTTTAAAGTTGGGAAGTTGGGATTTTTATGAGTATTAAGAATGCATCATATAAATAATTTTGGAGAATATAATTTACAGAATATTCTGCAAGGGTATATCAACTTCGGCTCCGCCCGTAGTTTGCTTTCCTTTCTTGTTATTAAGCAGAATTAATGACGAGGGTAACTTGCCTGAAATAATCTTCTTAATATTTTCGATATTTAATTTAACTTTAAATTTTAACTTTAATTTTTATTTAAATCCAATACCAAAATAAGTTAACCTGTTCACAACACCAATTTATTCAGCTTTATTGAAATCAATTTAGCGTCCCTAACATAATCGTCGATTCAGATCCGAAATTAAAGTTGAAATTCCAGTTGAAAGGCTTCCTTTTTCCTTCGTTTATTCAGGAACCGGTTGCATCCAAATTTAAAAAATATATTTTTAACAAACAAAAGCTATTGAAGAATTCAATGCCAAAATTCTTCGATTGCCGACGATAGAGGTAAAAAAATAGAACAATTAATTAGACATCAAGCGGCAGTTCTGGAATCTATGTCAAGAACTATGACCAAAATAGCTTCAGAAACAAATTTACCTATAAGTCCGTAATCGATAATTTATGGAAACAAATTGAAAATCTTTATTTTGAAATCCATAAATTTTCATTGCTAAAAAAACAATGTTACAATGTTGTCAACCATCAGCTAAAACTGTTTCTGCAGCATTTTAACAACTTCATTTTTAAACAAGAAAGGAAAGCTAACTTCGGGCGGAGCCGAAGTTGATATACCCTTGCAGAATACTCTGTAAATTATATTCTCCAAAATTATTCATATGATGCATTCTTAATACTCATAAAAAATCCCAACTTCCTAACCTTAAAAACACCAAAGTTATGGCATTTCCAATCGTTCAGTTATATGGCAGCTATAGGATATAGTCGGCCGATCCATATGAAATTTGGTAGGTCGGATTGATTGGCCAAATATAAAACCCATAGAAAATCCCAACATCCTAACTTAATAAACACCAAAGTTATGGCATTTCCGATCAATCAGTTATATGGCGGCTATAGGATATAGTGGGCCGATCCTTATGAAATTTGGTAGGTCGGATTGATTGGCCATAGAAAATCCCAACTTCCTAACTTTACAAACACCAAAGTTATGGCATTTCCAATCAATCAGTTATATGGCAGCTATAGGATATAGTCGGCCGATCCCGGCCGTTCCGACTTATATACTGCGTGCAAAGGAAAGAAGGTTGTGTACAAAGTTTCTTCGATAGCTTTAAAACTGAGAGACTAGTTTGCGTAGAAACGGACATGGCTATATCAACTCAGGAGGTGATCCTGATCAAGAATATATATACTTTATAGGGTCGGCGATGTCTCCTTCACTGCGTTGCACACTTTTGACCTAAATTATAATACCGTCTGCAAGGGTATAAAAATAGTTTTACTATCAAATTTCTTTAACGGGATTTTTTCTACAAGTCGTAGAAAACGCCGAAGATAGAGCTATAATAATAAAGGAAACACACAATCGAACTCATAGGGCACTAGAGGAAAATCATAAGCAAATCAGTAGATTATATTATTGGCCCAATCTAACCACAAAACTTAAAGAATACATAAAAAATTTTTAAATTTGCAATGAGAACAAATATAAAAGATACCCCATTAAAATTCCAATTAGAGAAGCCCAATACCAACTAAAGAAGGAGAAAACTTACACATTGACATATACTATACGCAACGTTTAACTTTTATAACTTGTATAGACGCGTACTCTAAATTCATAGTAGTTAAAGAAATTCAGATTAAATTAAATATAGAAAATAAAGTAATGGAACTACTTCAACAATTTCCCCAAGCCAAAGTATTTATGACAGACAATGAACCGTGCTTTACATCGGCCTAATTTAATTCTTTTGCTCAAAGATGCGGATTAACTTTACACTACGCAATCCGAGGCACATTCGACACTAACAGAATTAGCACGCTGCATAAAAGAAGAATTTAATCTAACCGATTAATCTGAAATTGTAATTAGAGCCGAATATAATCAGAGTATTCATTCCACAACAAACAAAAAACCTTTTGACATGCTTTATAATGAAATAGAACACGATAATATTAAAAAATACTCAGGAGAAAATGTTAGAAACACATAATGAAAACAGAAAAGAAAAACAGCATCATGTAGGACAAGTTGTTTATGAAAAGAAATATGGAGAGAGAAATTAAAAATATATAAAAAGCAAATAGTTAAGGATGTATGCCTAATAAAATAATAATCAACAGTAGAAACATAATTATTCACAAAAATAATATTAAGAATTAATAAAATTTTTTTTTAAACTTACAGAAAATACCTTAATACCTATTTTATCAATTGTAATATTGGCCAGTTCAAAAATAATTAATTACTCGAACCATGCATTTTTTCATACCTATGAATCGTACAACGATTTATTCCACGTAACTAATTTAAGTTTTTATAAATAAATAATAAATATAGAATCAGATAATAAAAAAAGGGATTCAAATAAAAGGTCACAATGGGAAATTAAATACGACATGGAAGTAATCGAATTAATTTAATCTCAGTTCATATCAGCTAGATTAAAAAAGGGAATAAATGATCATTTCATTAAAGTAAAAAATAAAATAAATGACTTAATTGAAAATAATAATAAACAGTCTATTATAAATTCCAAATTGCTTAAAGAAATAGAACCTATTTCTGAAGATTTTTAAAATGTTTTTATTGATCAAGATTTACCACTAAGAAAACATCGCTTACTATGACCTTATACTATAACCCTTGATACTATAACCCTTGCAAAAATTGAGGTTTTTAATACAAAAATTGTAAATAATGAAGATATAAAAGAAATAGTATGAAATAGCCAGTAATTATCGCTGACTAGATGGATATCTC